TCCTCAGGGATTGAGCTCATCCAGATAATTTTCAGTGAACTGGGTAAGGGAACTAAATGTCCTCCTGTCATCCTATTTATTTTGGATTAAAATCCTATGGCAATCATTTACATTCTGTCTTCTTTACAATTAAGTTTTTATTCCTTGACAGAGAAGAAAGAAGAAAAATTGGAAATCTGTCATTCTATGTTTTTTTGCTCTGTCATCATTGCCATTGTTTCATTTACCTCAAAGCAATGAGTCTGTCCCTTTATTGCTCCTCTTCTTGCTCCAAATATAACTAACAAATAAACCAATAAACTCTCCTTCTTTCTCCCCCCCTCCCCAAGCACTTAGCATAGTACCTTAGCCCTTAATATAGTGCTTGGCACATAGCAGGTACTTAATCAATATTGATTGATTGATTTCTCAGCATTTTGGCAGGTCTCAGCTAAATCTGAGATTTCCCTTTTCTAATACTCTTTTTACAGGATCAAACCATTTCCCCCCTGATTCTTCCTCCATTATATGTTCTTCCTTCCATTTTAAAAGAGAAAAGATCAGTAACTACATTGGTGTAAGTAACTCTTTTTTTTGTTTGTTTTGTGAGGCAATTGGGGTTAAGTGACTTGCCCAGGGTCACACAGCTATAAGTAAGTGTCTGAGTCCAGATTTGTACTCAGGTCCTCCTGACTCCAGGGCTGGTGCTCTATCCATTGTGCCACCTAGCTGTCCTTAGATTGAAGATACTATCTCTACTTATGTAAATCAATGTCTATTATGCAATGTACTGTATGTTAATTGCCTCAGGCCATTGTATGCACCTTAAAATTTGAATTTTTGAGAGTTCCTTGGGCAGCATTTCTACCCCTTTAAAATGCCTTCCTCTATCTTATTCTTCAACGTGATTGTTTATTATTGTACCATTAACATATTATTTTTGAGAATCTTCTAAACCTCTTTACATTGTTTTTTTTTTGAGTGTTAGGCCATGGAATCATGTCAATGTATTTTAATCTCTTTATTTAGTTTAACAGAACTTAAATAAGATGTACTTTACCTCTCAGCAGGCTTTAATCCTTCAATGTACTTATAGACAAATCAGACAAAGCAAAGAAACATTCACTCTGTGATTGCCATGGTGTCATATAGTTCTAGGAATGATATTTCTGTGTCCCTTGCATAAGGAACTGTAATGAATCACACAGAACAAACATTCTCATCCCTTTGGATAAAGTTATTCTCATCTACATATGGATCATATATTAAGAGGTTTCATTTTTAGCTGTAGTTCTGCTAATGACTAACTTGGCATCCTTGATAAATCATCTTTTCTTTATTAGTACTTAAAAAGATTCATTAATTGATAAGGGGTACTCCCTTTACAAATGCTTATCACAATCACTCAACCCTTTAGCAGATGGTTTAATTAGAGGTTGGGTTGTTGTTGTTGTTGTTTTTGAGTTACAAAACAAAACATAACCTGTGGGCTCCTTTTAATGTTCTTCCAGAACTTAGCTAACTTTGTCCTTGAATGAGAGTAACTTGCCAAGGCCATACTCAAGACTTGGTAGAACTCTGCAGATCTGGTCCTCCACCAGGATATCTTTTGAAAACCCAAGTTTGTCCACAACTCAGTGATTCATTGCAGTATGACTGTAGTCTGAGTTGTGCTCAACAAATATTTCATTGGGAAATGACTGTGGGTAAAAGATTATGTTAGACATTAGGAAGGATGTAAAAAAGATGAACTGGTCCCTGACTTTAAGGAACTTACAATGTAGAAATGGGGATAAGATAAGTACACAAATAACTATTCTAGAAAGCAGAGTATGTATGATAAAGGCCATAAGAAAAGTACAAATTTAGTGCTTTGGTGATTCAGAGGAGGGAGAACAACAGTTACATCTGAGATGGACTTTGAACTATGATTGATTTCATTGATGAAAATATGGAGAAAATGTATTCCAGGAAGAAAGAACTAAGAGATCTGAGTCATGGCAGCAGAATAAGCAAGGTTATGTTTGCAAACCAGTGAATAGTTTGGTTTAGCTGGAGCATAAGGTACCTTCATGTAGGGGAGTAGTAAAAGAGAAGGCCAGGGAGATAGATGGGTTCACTGTCCTGGAGGGCCTCACATGTCATTTTGCTTATGTCTCCATGGACTTAGTAATTAAATTGTTTTGTTTAATTGCGTGGTTACTTAATTGAACCAGCCCAATCAATTCATTCAAAACATCCAAAGTCCATATTATATGTAGATACTGCTTATAACATACTCTTTAAACCTGAAGGAGGGGAAGTTCCTCATTGTTTATTGTAAGAATAGAAGAAAGTATATATGAAGCACAGTGAGTTCTTTGAAATATGATTGCTCTATAAATTCAAAATGTTATTAGCATTTTTCAGCTGTGAATTGCTTCTCTCATACCTTGAGAGTGTATGGTGAGCCAAACCATGTTGCATTCTAAACGATAGGCATCTTTTCACTCTCGTCCTTTAATAACAATAGAATTCTAAATCAAGATCATTATGGGACAGAGAGACACACATGGAGACAGATGGACAAACATAGGATAGCATAGGAATAAAAGAACCGGTCCTAAAAAGAGGAAGGCATGGGTTCACATGCTGCCTCTGACACATACTAGTTATGTTATGCTGGGCAAGTTAACCTCAGTGCCTGAGCAATATACATACACGCACACATATAGCATACACAAGTGAATGTATGTTTATATGCACACAAATATGCCTATAAGGATACATATATGTGCTTATGTTTATTGATGCAAACATGCATAAATAGGCCCACATGTGATTTATCATATATAACACACATTTCACGCGTACATAGGAATGTATATGCACGTTGACATACATGTATTATATGAATGAAAATACATAAATAGACCTGTATTGTAATGCATTTATACATGCATATGCACGTGTATTTTACTAGGATGTCTTTCCCTCTGAGTTAGGAAACAAGCACTAATGAAATAATTTGTTATTTACGTTTATACCCAGTTCTGACTAATTCTTGGTTGTTCTGTTTATTTGTTTGGTGGTTTGTTTGTTTTTTTAAACAAAGCCCTTTTCACTTTTTTTTAAAACAAGGTCTTTTCTGCTACTGTTACTATTAGTAACCTTTCTGATGATTTTAGCAATGGCTACAAAAGAGACAGTAACTGCCAGACTCTCAGAGATGCCAGAAAACCTAAACCAATTGGGTTTTTCTGTTAAGTCAGGGTTATCTGAGAAATTCTTAACAGCGATGTGATGATAATATTTTCTCTTTCAAATAATGTTGTGTGCCCATATGAAAGATAAAAAATCCGGGCTCTGTCAAAACAATGAACCAACTTTTAAAAATGTGGTAGCAATATGTGACTTTGGGGATTGGTCCTTGCTAGAGGCTTAGAAAAAGAAATCATTGTCACATTGGATACTTAGAGAAGAAAAATGTGAATGCTGTCAAGAGGATTGAAATTACTGAAGCAACAGATGTACCACAATGTCATTTTAAAGACATAAGGGGTGTGTGTATGTGTGTGTGTGTGTGTGTGTGTGTGTGTGTATGTGTGAGTGTGTTTTAAATAGAAGTGGGCATTAATACTATGGAAAGAGTATCAATTTCTCCACCTTTCCTTATCTTTCACATTAATTAACTAAAATCTGTGTTCAAAGCATGTTTCTGAGTCATGCCTTCTTATTCTTGTAAAGTGAGGGAAACATTCTCTTGAAAACCATGAAAATCTGTTATTGTTCCCTTACTAGTACTTGCCTTCTAATAACCTCCTCAAAAACATCCTCAATGCATGTGAAGATTATTCTCATAAAACTGTTTATACATGTAATGGGGGACTGGCCAATGAGCCCAGTGAGTACAAACATGCACAGAGCGCTGCTGATAGAATCCTTCATGTGGAAAAGGTTAGGGAGCCAGTATGCAGGAGAGATGTGGTGGTGTTTAATGGAATTTCATTGGAGAGACTTTGGAGCATGTGTAGACATTCTGTAACAGGTTCTGGCCTACATATTGAGTCATACCTCCTTTCATCAGCAGCAGTGGTGGAAGTGGAACTGGGGGTCCTTCCAAAAGATATTAGTCAGCCTCAGCCCCTCTCTTGGTTGGGCCTCTTTTCTCAGTGAGGACGTCTTTGGATGGCTGACTTCTTCCTTCTAGGTGGCATCTAATGAGAAATAATGTTGTCAGTGGAGAGGTCTTGAACCTTCTCCCCATATTAAGATAGACATGTGGATTTGTGAATGGTGGCTTTGGCTGTTTACCTCTGCATTTGTTATTTTGCTTTGGGTGAAGGAAATTAAAGGCAATACCTTGTGGGTTTCAAGCTATCAGGACAGCGTGCTTCCTGGGATTTGATAGTCCAGGAACTGAGTTTAGGCCAAATTTTGTAGCCAGCCCAGTATCAATGCTACAGGGAGTGAAAAGCAACCTTTGGGACTTAGGTCAGTGGTAGAGGAGACAAGGAATCATCCTGTAGCAATGTCACACTTAGATATGAACTTGGTAGGACCGGTTCTACACATAAAGTGTACTAGGTCTAAGACCACTCTCTTGTTCTTGCTCTGTCTTCAAAGTTGTCAAGTGGCTAAATGGAATTGGGGTTCTTGACACTTGTGGATGACAGTGGAACACCCAGAATGGGAGCTCGGGGTGATGGCTTTAGAGAAGAGATGCCCCAAACCCTCAGACATAACCCTGGAACACTGAGGGACGATGAGACTTCCATCTCTCTGACGGAGTGAGGCCAGAGAGTTCTCACTGTGCAAAATGGGAAAACAGGCTTGGGATGATAGTTATTGATAATTCTCTCAGTCGCTCTTTTGTCAGTAGTCATGAAGTCTGAGATTTTTCTCAACTTTCGGAATCTTCCATTCCTTTATGTGCTACAGAATTGATGTCTCAACATGCTGTGAATTGTGTTGCTGCTGGAATGGATCTCCTTTTGGTATAAAGGGTTTAATGGAGCTGTTTTTCCACCTTTGTTCTTCAGTGATATTTATACTTCCTCTGGAAGCACATCTGGGACCATCACGTTAGAGTCAAAATATAATGGCTCCTCTGTCCTTGGTGGTGAAAAGAATCAAGTTTTCACAAGCAATACTCCATAATAAACCATATCTTTGCCATCACACAATTGACTAAAAGATTTAGAGAAGGTAAGATCTCACTGTGCTTGTTTGTTTTCTTTTTATATTCTAAACAAACCTAATTTAGTAGAGCAAAATTCTGTCCAAGGTGGGGGAGGGATGTCCTCCAGCAAGAAGTCTCTTATAGATATGCCAAATTTATGCAATATTACTTGAAATTGGCAGCAAGGTGTAGTAGAGAGAAAGCTGGTCCCAGAAGCAGGAAGCCCTGGGTTCAAGTTTTGCCTTTGGCATGTATTGGCTGTGTGACCATGGACATATCACTTAATCTCTCAGCCCCCAAAACAGCTCTCTAATACTGTAAGGCACAGGACAGATACTGATTTATTTGGTACTGTTACCAAATAGCAGTTTTCTGTTTTCTTTCCAGAAAATAAAACTTTCTAGAAGTTTTCTCCTCAGGAATTTATTATATCAATTAAATCATAGGCCCATTTCCATCCCCCTTTAAAACATATTACTAGAGAGATAAACTTTTTCTATAACTCTCGTAAATATAACAATGATATCTAGCATTTGCATAGCTAGCTCCTTCAGGTGTGCAAAGCATTTTATATATGTTATTTCCCCAGATCCTTACAAAACCCTATCAGGTGGGTGCTGTTGTTATCCCCATGTTACAGATAAGGAATTGAGGCTTAACTGATTTGAGAGAGGTTAACTGATTTGCCCAGGATCACATGGTTAGTAATTGTCTCAGGCAGGATTTCAATTCAGATCTTCCTGATTACAAGCCCAACACTATCTACAATACCACCTGGCTGGTTGAAATATCCATGCAAGGAATAAATAAAGCTGGGAGAAGGTGCTCACCTTTGTCATGGAGAAGATCCAAAGATGAATCAAAACGAAAACAAGGATTTCCTATCTGAATCCTTAACTTCAGATCCCTGAACTTTAACAGTATATATTTTGATAATTATATCTCAATATAATCGCTTTCTTTTATTTGATTTTCACATATGAAATATGCTAAGGAGGGGTTCCATAGGCTGCTCATAATGCTAAAGGGGGCCATGACATTAAAAAAAAGAAAGAAAATTAAGGACCCCGATATAGATGATGAATTCTTCTAGTTATTCCAGTTTGTGGATGAAGTGCTGGCTGTATCAAGCTCCAGAGCATTGTCGAGGCTCCTGAATGGGCTATTTGTATATACATGTGTAAATGTACATTATCTGATACAGACATTATAGATGGATGGTAAACTAGGCCCGGAAATGAGTAAGAGAATAAGTGCTACCTGGATTGCTTTGGAAAATTGAAGATTTCTTTATCCGACCCAAAGCTTCTCTCTGAAACAAAAACCTATCTTCTTAATCACAAAATTCATAATGTCATATGGCTGGGAGTAATGAAACCTTATAGTTTCTAAGGACTTGACATTGAAGATCACCTAAAGATCAATGGAAAGGGGCATGTTTGTCATAAGTAGATTACAACACTATAAAGAAGTAGAAAGAAATCATCAAGGAAATGTATGAACAAATGGGTTGACCATATGATGAGAGGGAGGTAAAATTACTAACCAGCTGATTTGTTCCATCGACATTTTTGTGATGTTAAGAAAACTTGTGAAGGCCTCTCACATTAGGAGGAGCTCTCTGGTGTTAATTCATGGGAGACTATAGACAGGCACAGGGTCAGCTAAGTGGCATAGTGGTTAAGAGTGGTGGGCCTGGAGTCAGGAAGACCTGAGTTAAAATCTGACCTCAGACCAGCTGTGTGACCCTTAACAAGTCACTTAACTCCTGTTTACCTCAGTTTCCTCATCTGTAAAATGAGGGCAATAATATCCCTTCTATTTAATAACAGTTCACATTTACACAGTGTTTTAAGATTTATGTAGCGCTTCTCATTCACCATCTCATTTGAGCTTCGCAACAAACTTGTAATGTATGAGTTGTTATTATTTCTATTTTATAGATGAGGAAACTGAGGCTAGAGGATATTATGTGACTTGCTTAGGATCACAGAGCTAGTAGGTATTTGAGGTAGGATTTGAATCCAATTCTGTCTGGGTCCAAATTCAGCATTCTGTATACTGTACCATGATTAATTGATCATTTTCTTTGCTTGGGACATAGGGTATATAAAGATGAACTAGACATCCCAAGTTAGATGGAACACATTAAGACCAGTTGTCAGAAAGAAAGAATGAATATATAGCCTTTCAGTATTCATATTAGGGTGAATAGTGTCTATTAAATTATATTTCAGAATGAAAAAATAAATACTATACCTCAGCAAAGAGATTACATTTTAAGATTTAGTATTTTCTGTAATTACTTTGAAAAAATGAATAACATATGCCAAGTCAAGTCAACAAACATTTTTTAAGGACATGCTATGTGCCATGTCCTGTGCCAAACGCTAGAGAGACAAAGAAAGGGAAAAAATACCCTGCTCTCAAGGAAAGGAGACAACATGTAAACATTTATGTACAAAAATGGTATATGTGCAATAAAATGTGGATAATAATAGAAGGAACTATTGGAGGTTATGGGGTAGGGGGTGACCTGGTCAGACTTTTAATTTAGGAAGATAAATTTGAAAACTGGATGGAGAATATACTGAAATGAGGACAGACTTGAAGCAGGGAGACCAACCAGAAGGTCATTGCCATAATCAAGGTGAGAGATAATAATGGCCTGCACCAGGATAGTGGCAGTGTTGGAAAAAAAGAAGAGAGTGTATATAAAACATGTTATGGAGGTAAAATGGGAAGAAAATGACAAATTATTGTTTATGATGGAATGAGAGAAAATGAGGAGTTGAGGAGTGTTTGGTGCTACAGAACTTTGCTAATAATAGGTTATAGTTGCATTAATAGTTGCAAAAAAGTTGCGCCATGTTTGAAATAATATTGAAGGAATAAGGAGTCATGAGAAAAAGTATACAGTATGAATAGAAGAAGAAAAGAGAGAAGAGTGAGATGGATAGGAGAAGGTCAATGAGTTGCTACAGTCTAATTACCAGCAAATGATTTGTGTTTAGTCAATAAAAGAAATTTATTACTGAACAAAACCATAACTTTCCATTTTCCCCTTATGATGGACCTAATTTATCTAAATGACAGTATTTTGTTCAACTTTTATCCAGAGGAATGTTGCTCAGTTTCATCTGAAAGCATCTTTGGCTCAAAAGCTAGAAATTTTCTTATGGAATGAACATTCTTTTGTGTGTCCTGCTGATTAAATGTAAGGGTAAGAACCAATAAAATGTGGATAGTCATTGAATAGGCACTTTCCCTGTTCACTTTTTGATGGAAGAACCAAAAAAAAAAATCTATCCTTACTTCCGTTCCTCACAACTAATCACAGGGGATTTATTTCATTTCTGCTGTCCCTACAGTCAAAGTAGTCTGGAACTTAGAGATTTATCTGACCAAACCTAGACTAATTAGACTCATCTTTTCTTGTTGTACTAGAAGGTATGGTTGGATGAGTCTCAGCTGCCCTGTGGTGATGGAAATGTAGTTCCAGCTGACTGCAGATGTTTTCACAGTTGTCCTTCAGTTTTAAACCCTCAAAACAAATAAAGTTTGGTCTCACAGTCTTTTTTTTTTTGTTTATCCTTTGACTACAATTCATGTTATTTGGCTTTTCTTAATGCATGTCACTGATTAATCTATTTTTTAGTTGATTTAAGAAATTTTTTTTAAATTATAGAAATGATGCCTATTTCTAAAATGTAGTCCAAATTGTATCTTATAACTCTAAATTCAATTTTTAAGTATCTACTACTATCTAATTACTACTATGTAATTTTCTAAAATTACATTTTTAGGGAAATATATTTTCTTTTTGTTGTTACTTTCCTTTCTTTTTATATATTCGACCCCAATTCTTGAAACCCATTTGAGAAAGAGAAGGGTGCTGGAAAAACAAGAAGGCATTAGAATGAGAGCATACATTTAATCTGAGCTATTATGGTTTGGTTTTGGATCCAGGAAAGCCTGAATTTGGGGCCTGCCTCTGACAAATACTAGCTATGTGAACACGGGTAAGTTAACCAACTTTCTAGCTCTCCCAAGCAACAAAGACCATAAATTACAGTTGACTTGACTATCTTCATCAGTGTTGTTTCCTTAACAGGGGTTCCCACACTGATTAAAGCACAAGTTTGGCCTGAAAAAAAAAGGAAAAGAAAAAAATCATTTGAGAAACTTTATTTATGAAAACGAGATATGCCAGAAAAGGAGCTTAGAGAGGAAGTCAGAAAGCCATAAGTCTCAACTGTAGCTTTCACTTTACTGTTAACTTTGCAGATTTCCTTTTCATGAAAGACCAGCTTCAACCAAATGTTGTCGAGAAACACGTAGTCTCTTCAATAAGATCAAAAGTTGAAATTTCTAAACAATCAGAAAAGTTAGAGAAACAAATAACATACACTCCAATAAGCTGATAAGGAGGCAAAGTTATATAAACATTTGGAGAAGGTCAGATTGTCTTTAGTATACAATTTCCATCTGATAAAACTCTTCATTAACTCAAGGTCATTTGATGTAATGTAGATGGTCATGATGCTGAGGGATATAGTGACAAGAGCCAAAGTTCTCTACTTTCAGTCAGAAAACCTAGGATTGATAGCTGTTTATACCGTTTACTATCTATGTGACCTTGACCAAGTTGATTCATTCCCTGAGACTCTGTAAAATGAGGAGGTTGGAGAATATCAGTGGTGTCAAACTCAAATTGGGAGGTTGGGGGCACAAAACTGCTGACTTACAAAATCACATGTTAATATTATCTATGTTCGGTTGTATTTTCTTTACTTTGTTAAATATTTCTCAATTACATTTTAGTCTAATTAGCCAGGCATGGTGTAGGCAGATGTTTGACATCTCTGGACTACATTATCTCAACAGTACTTTCTAAATCTAAGTCCTAATCTTTTAATTTAACAGACTGGGTTTTTATTGTGCTAGGTGAAGGATGAAATGACTGAGGAAACAAAGATTTGAGCTTCTGTCTTGTGGAAATTGAGTGAAAACCTTATTATAGCAT